GGCCGATGCTCCGAAGGGAAGCGGGGCAAGGAGCCGTGCGGCGGACCCGGGACCTCTGTGCCCCAGCCGGGGAGACCTGCAGCAGCGGGGCTGGAGGAAGGCACTGTGCCGCGATCCCCGGGCCCCCCACGCGTGTCTCTCCTTGCCCCTGCCGCACCGCTGGGAACTGCGGTACGGATTAGGACAAGCCTCCGCCGTGTCCCGCTGCCCCGAAGCGCTGCTGGGACACAGCCCGGCGGGGGGAGCACGCTTCGCCGCAGGTTACTGATCCTCTGAGGAGAGGCACTGACTTTCGGAGGAGCGGGATGGATCCAGCACAGCCCTTGCTGACTCCTTGCCCCTGGCAGGGTCAGGAGCACCTGCCCGGACATGCTTCTCCCTCCTGCTGGGCAGGTTTCGCGCAGCGCAGCCTCCCCTAGCACGCTGCCCTCTGGTTTTCTTACCTCCTGCCTTCCCCTGACTCCTTCCCCACGGGCACGGCAGCGTGGGTCAAACAGCCCCGGTGAGGCACACGCTCCCTTTGGCTTTCCGCTCCCCAGGGGACACATGCCCACGGGAAGGTGCCCAGGCCTTGCTAGCGGGTGCTGGGCGAGCGGTGAGCAGAGCCAGAGCCGTCCCCCCGGGCCTGGCAGTTAAAAAGCTCAGCCCAGGCTTCCATCTCGCCTCATCCCTCGGGCTCACGTGGGGATTTCCCCGCTGGAAGGGCTCAGGGCACGGGTCCAGCCACCTGCTGCGGGAGCCGCGCTCAGCTCTGGGCCAAGACAGCTGCTGGCGGCGGGCGGCTGCGGGAGGAGGAGGAACAGGACCTGCTGGGAATGCCTCCTCACTCCCGGCCAGAGCCCGGCCCTGCCACTCGAAAAAGGGCCTGTGGTGCCAGACCACTCGTGACTCAGCCGTCGCACACCGCTCCCACAGCCCCTGCTGACCACACGTTACTGTTTAGCCACAACCCGCATGAAATGCAGAAGTGGGGAGCAAAGCTTTCCACTGGCACGGCTGCAGCACGGGGGGCTGAGCTCACTGTCAGTCTTTCCTCAGGGCAGGAACAGCCCAGAAAGCTTGTCCTGCCAGTCACACGCGATCCTGCGGAGAGGAGACGCATTTGCAAACTGTTCCCCTATAGCCACGCGTTCTGGAGCTGGATCTGTCCCTCCTTTCCAAAGGCCCTGGGGGATGCAAATCACAGAAGCCAAGTCCACCCCGTTTCTTGCAGGGGTCCAGAGGTGCAGCACCCCGCGGTGCAGGGGGCAGCAGCCTGAGTGCTGCCGCAGGTGCCTCCCCCGGTGCCCCCCCGCGCTCCTCCACCTGCCGCGGATGTGGTTATGCTGGGGACACTTGTACGAGGAACCCAACTATGCGGTTTTCTTTCAAGAAGCAGAGCCTCCTCCTCTGTTCTTTCTGAAATGTTAATAATCTGATCTGTTCCAACCACCGCACGTGGAAAAAACTTGCATGTGCTAGGGGAAAAATCGAGATCAAGGGAGAAAGTGACCTGACCTGCCTGTGCCCGTGAGCCAGCAAGCTACGGGATGGAGAGCAGGAGACCGGAGGGGAAGGGAAGCTCTGCAATGATTCACGGGCTGGAAATGGCAGTGGTTTTTCATTCGTCCCACCCTGCAGCCGAGCGCCAGGGTGGTCAGAGCCATCTCAGTGCCACATGGACTGGCCCAAGGAGATTGCAGGCACACGCTAGCTACCTCCAGAGCTGCGAGCTGGCTGCAAATTCTTGGTTTTGCCTTCTTTGGCCCCACGGCTACACGAAGCATCTCAAATATCCTGCTGCAGAGCAAAGCTCCTGCCACCAAGGGAGACTGCGATGGGACGAAGGGAAGTTCTGCCGGTGAGGTGTGGGGAGGAGCTGTGCACCCACGCTGAGAAGAGAAGGTCCCTGCAACCCACGGCGGGCCCCTGAGCCCGCGGGAGGAGGACGGGGGCCGAGCACAGGGCCGGCAGGAGGGAGCCCGGTTCTCTCCAGAATGCAAGACCTCCCTCTTTTTCACCCCGCGCCGGCTGCTGCAGCCACCGGGGTGGGCTTATTCCCCCCGCGCCCCGGTTATGGAAGGGAACCGCACGGCGTGGGGGTACTCAAAAAGCTCCCAGAAGCTCCACTGTATTTTTTTTTTTAAAGCCCGGTGTCTGAGTACTAGGTAAAAAGAGGGCAAAGGTGAGAAGAACTAAAAGAGACACCCAAGCCCGTAGTGACACCACTAATTTCCACTAAGCACTAACTATTTTCTGGAGTTTTGGGGAAGGAGTGGGGAAGGAAAAGGAAGTTTTCATAGTGGTTTCAACAGTCCTGTTTGTATCACCTGGAGAATAATGTAGTTTAGCCATAAAAAAATGAGTTGCTTTTGAAGAATGAAGCACGGACCAATGCAACCGTGGCATGAGGTCTGTGTTAGAAAAACAAACCCTCCCCCTGTCCCCCCCAAAAACAGGCAAATGCCCCGTTGTCATTTTTAGTATATTTAATACAAATAAAAGCTTTAGGACTGTGAGCACATCCTTCATTTGCTTTTCCATGACTTAACACAGCCTTGGTATTGCGTGAGAGCTTAATCCTTTTTACGCTGGTCTTACCAGTGACCATCCAGTATAGCTGGCTAAAGGCCTCGAAGCAAATTTGCTGTGCCTTTGTCAACCATGTGACACGAGGACCCAGAACATACCATTAATACTTGATTATAGATGAGGTCCTTTACAAGATCTCATCCCCCCAGCGTAATTAGACCAGAGGGATTTATTGCTGTAATTCCAGATAGAGCGATGCCTTTGTGTTAGGCAATTAATGCTGACAACAATTTATCAGACCTATTAAGGCCGGTCTTTGACCAGAGACAGATTAATTTAAAAAACCAGCTCAACTGCAAGCTTGTCTCCTCCTATTCTGTCCCTCTCCCTCTGTGCTAATCGTCCTCCTAAGGCTGACTCCCTGTGCCAGACACCGGGAATTTCACAGGTCCAAGGTGGCCCAATTGCATTATCACCAACAATGGGCACTTGGGATCTGCTGTGGCTACGAGATCAGCTGCTGACGAGGCGAGAGCAGCTCCGGCAGAGCACTTCTCTCTTCTGCAGTAACACGCCACTGGATTCAGAAGCCCAAACCAGCCTGGTCTGTAATAAAGCTTTTTTTATCATGATTTTCTGCACACAAACGAGATGAATCAAGGCCATAGACAGAACACATGCACATCTCAACAGAATGTGTTTTAAAATCAACCAGCAAGTATCAGTAAGACATACCACAGCGTGCGTAAACACGTTTGTATTTGTTGATGAAGTCAGCAACACAGAGACACAAAGCTCTTCAGCAGCTGGAGTAAGTGGAAGTCTACGGCATGGTTTATCTCCGGGCAGTTCTGTGGATGCTCATCACAGCACAGAAAGCAGTGCTGTGAATTCTGCTGTTATCAAGCTAGCATGTGCCAGGACTTCACTTCTGATTCCTGCACAAACACAATCAAAGTTAAAGCAGAACTAGCATGCGTTTTCCAGTCAGTATTTTTGGTCTGTACCTTGTGTGAAATAATTCCCAAGTAACAAATTGATGAAATCAGCCCTGAGTTGTATAGTCAGGGAATGGGTCTGCACAGACAGTTAGGGTACAGTCTGCTCAACACAAGCAATTTCTGACTCATTATTGCTGCAAGCCAGGTTACACCTCCTCCTTCGGAGCTACCTAAACTGAGGACAACCCAAGGGTGTAAACATCACAAACTTGACAGCCTGTGGAGTTGAAGCTATGGGAGCTGTGAGGATTTCAACAGGAAAGCCCTGCTGGACAGTCACACTTTCCCAATTTAACAAGGAACTCTGGGGGGTTTGTTTCTTCGGCTTATACGGATATTGACATACAAGACTGCATCTGCCGTGTTCTGGCCGCCTCTAATAGAACTCGGTCCGAATTCGATCTGAACTATTTTTCCATAACCAGCGTGGTTCACTGTTTGAAAGATTCTAAATCAAGTTGCAGCTAATCAATACAAACTATTTAATGGAAGCCAGAAGTTGAAGTCTCTGTATTTCTCAGTGTCTATTGTGCTCCCTGCAGCGTTACACAGCCAGCAAGAAGTGTTTTTAGGGAAGTGCTGAAATGCAACGTATGGATCACGAGGAAGAAATGACAAGAGCTGGCACGAAGATAGGATTTTATAAATTAAATTACCTTTATTTGTAACTTGTCTTCAAAAGTCAAAAACACGACAAAGTAATTGCTTGGAAGCTTCTAACTGCTCCTTAAACATTTTATCAGAATTGCATGGAAGTGCACTTAGAATAGTAGCAGAAATCTAGATTCCAGTCAATGGGTATCACCAAACTGCGTTCTAGCCAGAACCCAGAAATCCCCATCCAACCACTAATACACTGTAATCTCTTTGCAGATCAAGCATTAAAAATAACCAACCCCAAACACAGTACTTTTTCCACAGTACCATGAGAAAGACTGACCTTCCAGTCACCAAGCAGATACTTAAGGATGAGTTTATAACAGCCTATACCAAATTGGGGAAAACATACTAAAACCAAGTTCAACTTAAATGTTAGAGGTCTGGCTGAACACAAAGGTTAATCAAATGGTTGTAGCTGGGGTACGTTTGATTGTTTTAATGGTAAGGCGATGCTGCACTCTCCAGAGTGTGATGATACTAAGTTTACTGGTCAAATAAATTAATTACTACTCAACTCTGTGGTGGCACAGGTCCACTGCTCCAGTTGAACATGCTTAAATTAGACTAGACATCTCAACACTACCGTGATTTACAAGTTCTTGTCAGGTGTTCATTAGAGATCATTAGATCTCAGCATCTTGACCGTGCAGTTAATGAAAATGTTAAACTAAAATGGAATCTCTATAATAAAAAATGTAGACTCGAATACAGAATATCCATTTACCATGTACTGGAATTGTCATCCTGCCTTCTGGGTTATATTTGATTTTTTCTTTGAAAACTATACCTGCATACTACACATATAATATTATATGGAAAACAATCTAAGTACAGCTTCAGCCACTTTAGCAACATTTAAATGAAGAACAGGAATTCAAAATGGCTGTTAAAATCTGTAATGCAGAAAGGTAGTGTAATGCAGAAAGGTAGTGCTGTGCAAGTGCTATGAAGTATTGGTAAGTTTTGCTACCAGCTTGCCTTGAGAGATGGAAAAACTAGGAATATATATGAAAAATTTAGTTTAAATAGAAAGCAGAGGTATTGAAAAGAAAATCTGAATTCCCTTATCAGCATAAGGCTTAAAATCACCAGAAAACTAGTTTCAAAACCACCAATTTAATCATAAAGCCAGCAAATATGATTATTATTTGCTAAGATATTTAAAAATTAATGCATTTTAACAAAGACCGACATTAAAGTTTACTTTCCAGGCTAGAAATTATGGCCAAAGTATGGAAGAATGTAATGATCATGCATAGAACTAAAATATTTTGAACTAGTTGCTTACACAAGTGCAAAGATTTGCCAAGGAAGTTTGTAGTTTGAAGACTTATACTGAAGATGTGTTTTCCATACAGTTGAGAGGCCGTGTGTAAGAATTTAAACACTGGGAAACATTATGAAATCACAGGCATCATAGGTCACTTTAACTGAGAGCTGGTCTGACAATTACAGTTAGCACCTAGAGGTCTCACTAAAGGAAAACAGAGCTACAAATACACCTCTCATACACTTATTTAAGATATGTAGAAGAGACAGGGAAGAGATATTTATTAACTAGTTCAGGCCATTCCATCTGGAATGTTTTTGGTTTTAGACAGTCAAATGAACACAACTGCAAAAGAAATGAAGAAATAGGCAAAGGTAAAGGAAAACAGATTTGTCTCTTCTGTGTTGACCCGCAATTAAGCTTTGTGTGAAGCAAGTAAGAAAATTAGGCTGACAGGGTTGAATAGCATAGACCAGGTTAACAAAAGATCAAGTGGTACAGAAATATCAAAACAGGATTTGAAACCGAGATAGGCATTAAGAAGTGTTCCGCATTTCTGGATGCCTGAGTTCATCTTGGGATGTACAGGGCCAAGCGCGAGGACGCTGGGCGTTTCCCCCTCACGGAAGCTTGGGTTTACAGTTAACCTTCTAGTTGGTTCATTTATCCCTCAAAGAGCGCATCAAAACCTGTGCCATCATATCATCTTCATCAGCATCATAATCCTATGAACAAAGGGTACAGAAACTCTTTTACTGCAACAGCCATACTGGTTAACACAACACCAAACAAGAACAGAATAAAAAGCTGTCTCTTCCTTTGACTTGCCAATAATCCAATTTCTCTCATGATACCGTCTGCATGGATGAGATCTCACAGTAGTGGCTATGTAAAAAAGCTGAGGTTTAAGACTCATCAGGCTATATTCCAAGGGTGAGGAAACACATACCACAAAAGTATCATATGAAAAGCGATGTCGTCTTTGAAGGTGCTCCATGAAGTTAGCACTCCTGTAATTTGGATCTCCCCATGGCATTGAGGCACAAATTGGGCAAACCTTCAAGAAAAACCCAAAAAAGGCAATTAAGCTCCAATGGTTAAGTGTTTTAACATTTATAGTAGGAAGGGCAGGACAGAGAGAGCACGGAAGATTGAAGTTCGAGGTTTGTGACAGTCACTATACTATATGCAAAGTGATGTCAATTAGTTTGGTGGGACATTTAATACAAAAGCCTCAGATAAACCCAAATAATTTTAATTCAA